GGAGAGATGGCTATGACCGTGAAGATATTGATAACAATGAAAGAAGGGAGAGGAACAATGGCAGGCATATGGAGGTGAGCCAGAATTATATCAGTGTGTATAAGGGGAGGGTGTCGAGGGTGATGGAATCAGGTTGTTTCGTTCAGCTGAATGAGTTTAGAGGAAGAGGGATTGGTCCACGTTTCTCAGATGGCAACTAGGAGGATAACTAATGCCAAGGATGTTGTAAAGAGGATCAGGAAGTTTATGTGAAGGTGATTTCATGAATGGGCAGAAGTTGAGTTTGTCAATGAGGGAGTTGATCAAAATTCTGGCAAGGATTTGTTGCCATTGAAGAAGAGTGGTGAAGATGATGGTTTGAGAGCAAATCCAAATAGTAATGGGGTCCTGTGACTAAAACAGGGCTTTCAGGGATTAAAATCAATGAAGAAGATGATTCTATGCCTTCAAGGAGGCCGTTGAAGAGAATGAGTTCACCTGAGAGATGGGAGGCAAACAACTCATCGCTTCCGGTTTTGGGTGTTAAAGAATATCCCATGTATGATGATGAAGGAGATGGTTTGATGTATCAGGAGGAAGGTGCGAGGAGGAGCTAGAAATTGAGCTGAATGAAGATGAGCCAGCTTTCTTGCAAGGCCAGAGTCGCTACTCCATAGACATGTCTCCTGTTAAGATCTTTAAGAATCCCGAGGGCTCATTGAGTCGTGCTGCCTGCACTTCAGTCTGCTTTAATAAAAGAGAGAAGAGAAGTAAGGAGCAGCAGCAGAGGACAATGCTGGATTCAATTCCAAAAGATTTGAATCGACCATGGAAGACCCAATGCCTGAGACAGGCGAGAGGCATTTGGCACAAGAGTTGAGGGTGTTGATTGTCAGCATATGACATGCCAGAATGGAAAAAGGATGCCTATGGAAAAGCTCTTACTTTTGGGCAAAGATCCAAGCTTTCTATTCAGGAGCAAAGGCAGAGCCTGCCCATTTATAAGCTAAAGAAAGAGTTAATACAGGCTGTCCATGATAATCAGGTTTGGTTGTGATTGGTGAGACAGGTTCAGGCAAAACGACTCAGGTTACCCAGTATTTAGCTGAGGCTGGATATACTACCAAGGTAAAATTGGATGCACTCAGCCTCGGAGGGTGGCTGCATGTCTGTGGCTAAGAGGGTCGCTGAGGAGTTCGGTTGCCGTTTGGGTGAAGAGGTGGGGTATGCTATCCGTTTTGAGGATTGCACTGGACCTGACACTGTCATCAAGTATATGACTGATGGCATGTTGCTGAGGGAGATTCTGGTTGATGAGAATTTGTCTCAATATTCTGTGATCATGCTGGATGAAGCTCATGAGAGGACAATTCATACTGATGTGCTTTTTGGGCTGCTTAAGCAACTTGTGAAACGGAGACCCGACCTTCGTTGATTGTCACGTCTGCCACACTGGATGCTGAGAAATTCTCGGGTTATTTCTTCAACTGTAACATCTTCACCATTCCCGGAAGAACTTTTCAGTTGAAATACTATACACTAAGCAGCCAGAAAGTGACTACCTTGATGCTTCTCTAATTACAGTCTTGCAAATCCATTTGACCGAGCCTGAAGGTGATGTTTTACTCTTCTTAACTGGTCAGGAAGAAATCGATTATGCATGTCAATGTCTCTATGAGAGAATGAAAGGGCTGGGTAAAAATGTTCCCGAGTTAATCATCTTACCAGTATACAGTGCCCTTCCAAGTGAAATGCAATCAAGAATTTTTGAACCAGCCCCTCTAGGAAAGAGAAAAGTTGTTGTCGCAACCAACATTGCTGAAGCTTCGTTGACAATTGATGGTATATTCTATGTCATCGATCCTGGATTTGCCAAGCAGAATGTTTACAATCCTAAACAAGGATTGGATTCGTTGGTGATAACTCCAATTTCCCAAGCCTCAGCAAAACAGAGAGCAGGACGTGCTGGACGTACAGGACCCGGAAAGTGTTATCGTCTGTACACAGAGAGTGCATTCCACAATGAAATGCCACCCACCACAATTCCAGAAATTCAGAGGATTAATCTTGGGACAACTACTCTTAATATGAAAGCTATGGGCATTAATGATCTTCTGTCTTTCGATTTTATGGACCCTCCTTCTCCTCAAGCCCTCATATCTGCCATGGAACAACTTTACAGTCTTGGAGCTTTGGATGAAGAGGACTTCTTACTAAATTGGGCAGGAAAATGGCCGAATTTCCTCTTGATCCCCTTTATCTAAGATGCTTCTAGCTAGTGTCGATCTTGGTTGCAGTGATGAGATTTTAACAATAATTGCATGATTCAAACCGGAAATATCTTCTATTCGTTCCAAGGGAAAAACAGCTCAAGCGGATCAGAAAAGGGCTAAATTTTTCCAGCCGGAGGAGATCATTTGACGTTACTTGCGGTTTATGAGGCTTGGAAAGCAAAAAACTTTTCTGGTCCATGGTGCTTTGAAAACTTTGTTCAGTCCCGATCTTTGAGGAGAGCTCAGGATGTTAGGAAGCAACTTCTCTCCATCATGACAAGTATGTATTTCCATCCTTTAAACTGGTGCACTGTTGGTGATTAGGAATCTGCTCAAGTTTATGACTGTTCACATTATAATCTTTGAAAGTTTTCTTAACTGAGGCTATAGATATGGTACTGTTTTGTTTTTTAATTTGTTTGATCTGTGTTCTCTTTGCTCCTTGGCAAGTTTAACCTGATAGTAAAGGAACCTTGTTAAATTTATGTATCTCGTGGTTTAGTAACTTGGTTAACAATCTGCCTTTTATGCGGATGAAGAAATACTACTGCATATCTTTTGTGAACAAGCAGTTACTTTGGTAGTTACATTTCTGTGACATGCTTGTATGCTTAACCATTCCTAGTGTACATGTTTCTGTAATGCAGTTATTCTCAGTTTCTTTACGTGTTTCCTCTGTAACTTAGAACCTTGGATGGTGTTACTAAATTAATTTTGTTCTTGTACAGGTATAATTGGATGTCTTGGGTGCTGGAAAGAATTTCACCAAGATTAGGAAGGCTATTACAGCAGGCTTCTTCTTCCATGCTGCCAGGAAGGATCCACAAGAGGGTTATAGGACCCTGGTGGAGAACCAACCAGTTTATATTCATCCAAGCAGTGCCCTTTTTCAAAGACAACCTGATTGGGTTATCTACCATGAGCTGGTGATGACCACAAAAGAGTATATGCGTGAGGTAACAGTCATAGATCCAAAGTGGCTTGTTGAACTGGCACCGAGATTTTTCAAGGTGTCAGATCCACAAAGATGAGCAAGCGCAAGAGACAAGAACGGATTGAACCACTTTATGACAGATATCATGAGCCTAACTCTTGGCGCCTCAGTAAAAGGAGGGCTTGATTTGTCTTTGCTGTATAACCACGTTTCAGATATTACAAGCCACTTCTGGCGAAGTGATTGGAATTGGGTTTTTTCCTTGTGCTTGAATTGTATCATAGACAGTCACTCTTGTTCCTCTCTTGTAGGCCTAATTGTTGTAAATTTGGGAAATTCTTTTTGCCTTTTGAAGAGTCCACATTTTACCTTTGAAAGCCCTTTAATGACCCCAACAGAGGGTTATTCACCCGTGCTGCCGCCTTGTTGCATAAGTGCTGTGGTTTATCTCATATAAAGCTGGAAATGTCACTTTTGAACGACATATTCTTCTATATTGTTATGGCGTCATGCATTTGATGTCTTTGTATACCTGTGGCACAATGAAAAGTTATCTCAGCGAATGCTGCTGTTAAACTTGATTTTTTGATGCTGTTACTGGGGAAAAAGCACCTTCAGTCTCAAGTTGACAACGTACATAGGATGAGATACGACGTCACATTATGGTCTTCTAGTCACTTAGGTGTCCCTTGACTATGCAGGAGCAAGGATTTGCAAGGATTTTTTATCTCCTCTTTTTAACTGGGATTGGGTTTTCATTACCTTCACGTCCCTTATCTTTGCTTCCAGCTTCTCCCTTCCGATTCTTCTACCAGAAAAAATCAACAAAGTGTCCTTTTTGTTCAGCATTTATCCCAATTTTCGTTTTGGTGTATACGAGGAGTAGAACCGTCAAATTACTCTTTAGTTCTTGCGCAAAATATTGTACATTTGCATTCAGGTTTCTACACTAAAGACTCCAAAGATGTATTGCTGCTTATACCCTCTAAATTGTATGGCACAATTAAGAGTAGGATAAGTTCCCACACTAGTTCTGATTCGCACCCTTCTACATTTTAGGATAGCGTAGTACCTAACTTCAAAGTATTTTCCCCTATCCCACAATTATCAGCAGGGTGGTAAGAAGCTTCAAGCACCCTTGCCAAGTTGAGAGTCCAGACCCCTGCTAATGACCAATCACTTCAAGCATACATATATTCTCACGAATGGCTATAGTTACTCGTAGGCAAACTTCTAAGTTTTGGTCCTTGCAATATGGCATTTGTTGCTCTTGTATAAGCTGCTGAGTTCTGGCCCAAGCATGGACATGGTGGGTCTACCTGCTTTGACATGTGAACGTAATTTCTTGCTGTAATTTGTAAGATGGCTTAATTACAATTCCCCCAAAGACTTGTTATAGCAATGGATACTTTCCCCTTGGATGAAAATCAACCAAACTATAGGATAGGATATATGCAGCATGGATCACTCCAGAAATTACAGGGTGCAACCGGAAACATGGACGAGTCTTTGTTCCATCACTCCTGAAATTAGTCGCCAGGGGCAACGTCGCTAACATGCAGACTGGGGGCCCAAAACAATGTCCGTAGGTTGATCGCCAAGATTTTGTTAGAGGACTTCAACATTCGAATTGGAGTGTATTATAGTGGCTGGCTAGGTCAGTAACACTACTAATCATCAGTTCACCAGTCATCCGTTAGGAAATAATTAATACTATCCTTGTATAGCGGCAAATAATTAATTATGCACAATGATTGCTAAGGGCATCGGCATGTGATGATGATTTGCACTATATATATATATATATTTTGGGCCTGCGTCAACATGGCTCCAGATTGAGAAGAATAGGATTCTCTATTGCTAATGACTGTAAAGAATGGGCCACTGAATAAAATCCGTCCACCAGTCAAAATAGCTCTCAAATCAATCCTCGAGGAGCTGGTAAACAAGAAACAAGAAAGATAGCCACTGCAGTCGTGAGAATCCGATCAAGCAAAGCAGGAATTGACGGCTAAAATCACAGAGCAGGCAGATGAGTCCCTACTAGTACTTCTCTTTTTCTCATTTCTTTTTTAATTTCATTTTTTCTTGGATAGTAAAATTCTTCTTAATTTCATTTTAACGGGGATTCATTACTCTTACCAATTGGTCAGAGACACATGGGAATAGCCAGGGTCTGTGATTTCAATCTGGTCCTCCCATGTTCTTTCTTTTCCAGAAAATCTCATCTATCAAAACTTTCCAATAATCAGGTCCGATTCATTCCTTCACCCGATCAGAGCTTCAGAGCTAAAACATCAATCAGCATGTCAGAAAACCCAGGTAAGAGAATCCTTGAAAATCTCTTGTTCCGGGTTTTTCTTTATACATTCACAAAAAGTCTCCATCTTGAAGCTGCTCCTTCTTTTTCTGCCAGTGGGCTATGCGGTCTGCCGGTTTCTGCTTTATTTTTGTGTGCTGACTTTCTGATGATTCATTTGCATGTAATGCATGACTTTGTACACCAAATTGAAACTATGGGCATTACACTGACTGATGGATTTAAAAATTAAACAGGGTTAAGCTAATTCTGCATTTCCCGGGAGAGAGGATGAGGGGAAAGAGACGAGTGGTACTATGGCTTTTGGGAAGGAATGAAAAGACAAATTTTTAAACCGCCAAGATTTGGTTCGCTGTTTAAGGAAGTATAATTCAGCATAGAGATACTTGTTCATATTTAGTAATAAAGTATACGAGTCCGCTTTTCTATTATACTAGGCAATATGGTTTATGGATGTGAGGATCAATATAACTTCTGGCTGAAGCTTTATCATGGAAACTACTAGTACGCAGAGTGGTTATGCAAGATATTGAACCAATAAGCTAGGAATAATAGACAGTTAAAATCAGCTTAAATAATTCGCTGTGTTAAACTGTTCCTTTCACGCCGCTCTATGTTTAGAGAGTTTTATTCGTGCTGTTAACTTCTTTAGTTGGAGGAATGCTGTGTGGCACTTCATTGAGTCTGTTTAAGCAGTTTATATGGGCAGACTCTGGAAATTCAACTCTTGTTCTGTTTTGAGTTTTGACTGGATTTAGCCATGAAAGCAGGTGTTGTCAAATTGCACGGCAACATATCTTGTGGAGATCTAGGCTATTAATATGAAGATATATCTACATTGGCATGGTAATACATGTATAAGAATTGATCCATACTTATAATGTTGCAGTAACTAGGCAGCAGAAAGTCACTTTACAGAACAAACATGGTGAAAAGCTTGTGGGCGTCTTCCATGATGCTGGATCTGCAGATGTTGTAGTCTTATGTCATGGATTTCGATCCTCAAAGGTTGGAAGCTCTTCTATTCTGCTCATGATACCTACTTTTACTGTCTTCCGTCTTCCAGTTACAACTTTGTTCAATCTTTGAATTTTCCAAAACCAAATGTCTTTATTTTTTCTTTTTCTTTAGATCTAATGGTAGCTGGAATATTACTGAATTGCATCCCCTTCTTTATTTCTGTATTGACGGAAAGCTAGGTGGGCACTTGTTTATTTGTGGCACACAGAACTAATCTGGCATTTGTAACCCCAATCTTTTGCTGTTAATACTGATTTACTTGACTTCCTTTGGTTGAAAAGGCTTAATAAAGCTCACGTGGTTTTGTAGTATAGTTTAGGCAAGTGAATGAAGTTCGTCTATAGTTTAGAAGAAAGTGCAAGGACGCTTCTTCAAAAAAAGATAAGCGATGATGTAAGACTCAAGCAGTAAATTGTTTATTAGAGATCCTGAGTGTCTGAAAACAGTGATAATAAGCTCATCTTGGTTTATTTGGGAGTCTTAATGGATATAATTAAGATTGTGTACTACCTTCATCTTTTCTTCTTCTTCCTTTATTAGTATTATTATTAATATTGTTATTGTTGTTGTTGTTGTTTCTTTTTGCAATTTAGACCAAGTACTTGACTAAAATATCTTTTTTGTGATATGGCACAACAACCAACATATGTGTGTAATATACTGAGTTGTAGATTGATAACTTTTAATCTTCATTTGTGTTGTCAGATGAACGAGACTATGATGAATTTTTCTGCTGCTCTAGAGAAAGAAGGAATTAGCGCATTTCGATTTGACTTTGCTGGAAATGGGTAAGCTTTAGCACTGTGGTTCATTTAATCACTGTTCTACAGGTTTTCGAATATTATCCTTTAGCATTGCGTGATGAATTTGTGTCCAAATAACAGCCACATTTGTTATACTGGAATTTCATCACTAGCTAACAAATGGATACTACCTTTTAATTGGTTAATACTGTGCTTTTCAATGCCATGATTTCCCAGGTTAATGAGCTACTTGTAATGTGCTCCCTTCACTCCAGCATTGATTTCTTACTTACCTTAAATTGAAAAAGTATGGCTTTAGGGTTCTTATGGGTTGTAACCAACCCTTGTACATTAGTGATTAATTGGTTTAATTACATAATTATTTGTAAAGAGCTTATTTAATTGGGCCATTATAAAGAGTTTGGCTAATTAGCTCTATACTTAATTGGTCAGTGCAATCTAATTTAGGAATTTATACTGCTCCAAGATGTTAATTTTGCCTGAAATTCTTTATGCTTCTGACAGTTTGATGCAATGAAAAGGGTACTGTTTAGCACTTGCTTTATTTTGGCTAGATCTCCTCTTCCTCAGGGACCCTGAGATTTAGTTAAAGTTTTATTTCTGGCAATTGTATGGATAGATTCTACTAACCTCTCATCACAATTATTCATTTCCAGAGAAAGTGAAGGCTTATTTCAGTATGGCAACTACTGGAGAGAGGTTGAGGACTTGCGATCTGTGGTTGAGTACTTCATTGCAGCCAACCGTAGGATTACTGCAATTCTTGGGCACAGTAAAGGTGTGCAAACTTTTTGAAATAGTGTGAAACATATTTGATAGAAATTAATGCGTGCACATAAGTTGTAAATCATAAGAACTCTGTGCATGTATATTTATGCTTAATTTTTTAAATTGGTTTTGACTAGATGATACAACTTTTGGTGCTTTAAATTGCAGGTGGCAATATTGTGCTGCTATATGCATCTAAATATCATGATATTTGCAATGTGATCAATGTGTCTGGCCGTTACAAACTGGATAGGGGCATTGAGGAGCGACTGGGAAAAGACTTTTTGGAAAGAATCAAGAAAGATGGCCATATTGATGTCAAAAGTGGAGCTGGTAATTTTAATAACGCATTGTAATGATTATCTAGCATCTGACTGTTCACAACCTGATTATTTATGGCTCTAAATTCAGGGAAAAAGAATATGAGCAGGACCTACTGCTTAGGACCCCATGTTGCATTTTTCTGTGCTTTACTTGTTTTACACGAGTATTCAATTTTTACATGGAGTAAAAAGTTCCGGTTTATCAAATGAATTCCCCGTTTGCAAATTCATCTTTCCTTTCTGATGCTTTACAAGTGCTTTGAAAGCATTATTCTCTTTAGTAATACATGTTGTATGGTTTTCTACTCCTGCTCATAGTGGAGCTAATGAAGTTCTTCATTATGCAGGTGATGTTCAATACCGTGTCACGGTGGAAAGCATGATGGATCGACTGAACACAAACATGCATGAGGCGTGCCTTGTAATTGACAAAGAATGCAGGTTAGAGTAGCTTATTTAGACCCCGTTGTTTACTAGCTTGCTTTAGACCTGCCTGTTTTGAGCCTTCATAAGTTATCCCATTACCGCCTCAATCACATGAACCAAAAACACAGAAATGGTGTTCGACAAAATTGAAGATTTTCATGAAGCTTCTGCGGGTAAAGTGATTTTGTTTTCTAGTGCGAGAAAGAATCCTACGTAATTTGGGAACAGCATGAAATACCCGAAACTGAGATACATCGGTGGTTAAATATGTAATTACATATATATAACATAGGATTTTTGTTAACATGTATTGATAATGTAGTTGAGGCAGATGCATAGATTTTAATCTCCTATTAATGAGTAACTCTTATCTGCTCACCCACTCAATATATGCGTTTGTACAGGGTATTAACGGTGCATGGGTCTGCCGATGAAATTATACCTGTGGAAGATGCCTTGGATTTTGCAAAGATCATACCAAATCACAAGTTGCACATTATTGAAGGTGCTGACCACAGTTATACTTCACATCAAGCTGAATTAACTTCTGTTGTTCTGCCTTTCATTAAAGAAGGCCCTGCAGGAGGCCAGTAAGCAGCCTTAGCTGAGTTAGTCGGCCTTTCAAATTTACACCAACGGTTCCAAGAAGCTGAATAGTCGGTATTTTAGACTTATTTGGCCTAATCAGCCATGAAAATTGCTTGTGTATTAGCTTTACGTTACAAAGCTTACAGTTTTCAAGCATTCTTGACCTCTTGTGGAGCAATTCTTCAATAGTGCTCGAGAAAGAGTATGAAGCTGTGAAGGCTGCTCGAGAAAGTGTTCTGCCTTTATATTTTTTTGCCTTTTGGCTTGGGAAAGAAACAGCTTTTGATGTCTTAAATTGCTCGACTTGTGGAGCTTGGTCGTGTGATTTTGTGAATCTTCTTCCCGGCTGCTTGGTTTCCTTTTTCCTTCCATTGGCAAGTACGTGAACATAAATCATGCTATACGCCCTGAAAAAGCCTCCTGCAGCATGGCCACAAGATGGTGATGTTTTGAACCTAATCTTCTTCTTCTTCTTCCTCTTTTTTTTTTTCGGAACTTGGCCAAACCAACTCGAGTTACGCATTCCTGTCTGAACTTGCCAAACCACACTCTCAGCGGTACATAAGCTTCAGCATATTGTCTCAAGGATTTCTTAGCTCACATGAATGCCCCTTCAAGCACACTGATTGAAATTAAGCAAATCGATCTCCAATTTGCTTTCACCTCCATTCCCCTCCCCAATAACACAAAAAGCTATCTTCCATTAATTTGCACATTCTTAACCACTGACTCTTAATACACTCTGATGAGGTGCACTAATTTGCAGAAAGCTAAAGTGATTGCAGCTGATATGTTTCTTTTAGGAACTGTGTTGGATATTACATACATGTAAACTAGCTACATTAGTATTCACTTCAACAGCTTTATTGATCGAAAGATTATAGATTCATGAGATTCTTGAGCTTAAAATTCTACAGGCTCACATGCACAACTATTCATTGTCACAAGATTTTTCATCCTAAGAATGGTGTGGGACTTGAATCAAGTACGTTTGTAATGGTCACACACCCACATGCAGCAACCCTGGAGATCACTGTCCATCCAAATCTCAAATCCCGTTAACCAAACCTTTGGAGCTTTTCAGTTCGGACCCCTTCCAAGTGTTAATTTGAAAAATCGAGCTTTTTTTTCACCACGGAGCAGTTCTGTGTTCTAGTTTTTCCTTCTCAAACCCTCGTCAAGAAGTTCCAACATCACCGCTGCAGTTATACGTCTCAAGATATGCATCTTCATCTTCATCCTACATAAACGAGACAGATGCCGCCAATCATGATTAAGCCACTTGGCAAATGGTCGTCACAGCCATTCACAAAAAATAAAATATCCGAACTAGCATATATTTGTTATTGTTACGAAGTATAAACATTAAGCAGATAGAGAACATGTTCATCCAAAGCCTACTAAAGGAAATATCCAAGATTTCCAGTCAAGTCTATTGGAGAAAAGACGTTAGAAACCAAGAGAATGGACCATCAATAGTGTCAAAATTACAAGATTACAATTATGCAATCCTTTCTGTGACTGAATATTGCTTCAGATATAAGAAAACTAGGCAAAGTAGTACCAATGATTTGAAAGGTAAACATAATTTAAAAGATCTTCATGTCTACATCCTCCACTGCCATAAATTCTACAACAACCAGAAAAAATCAGTCAAATGCATTCAAAGCTTAAATTATTGCTTACTTCTTGCAATTCATCATCATCGGATGCATCATCCACCCTTGAGTACAAGGTCTCCTCATCGATCTCCTTGACATTCTTCATATCTTCCTGTGCAGCAAGAAACAAGTTAACCTTTAGCTTCTCCTGATTCTTATGCATATCATACAGAATGTCATTTAGCCAGAAAACATACAAGCTCAGATTTCAGCTTCTCAATTTTTTCTTGCAACTCTGCAACATGATGCTTTAAAGCCTGGATATGTTTCAATGAGGATACATGATTAATGATCATCTCAACAAACAATATTGTAAATCTGGACATTGAAGGAAGGAAAAAAAGGGGTTTGTAAAAATCACTAGTCATGATTACCTCACGTCTCTGAAGCTCAATAGAACGAGCCAATGCTTGCCTTCTTGTCAGAAGATTTTTAGGCCTAAATGCACTAGGAGGGAGATAATTTTTTCCACGATAAACAATAATGAGATATCCTTTGGCAGTTTTGTCAACTGATACTAAAATACCACCACTCTCTGCCTCAAGAGAAATTGCAATATGTTTGACTTGTGGGAAACTTTTTCGTTCCACAAAAATCTTCACCAGCTCTCTGTACTTCCAGTGCAGGTGCATATTTTCAATGGTACCATCAAAAATGCCTCTCCTTCCTAAAAACCAGAACATGTTAATTCCTAGCTTTCATCTGTTACTGACTAATAATACACAAACAAAAGAACTGGACAAAATAGCAATACAGAACTGATATGAAAAGAAAAACGTTGGTGACTTTAGATCGCATGGTCCCACTACATGGCTACAGCAGATAGATTTCCTAATAAGTAAAGCTCAAGGAACAGCAATTGTTACCTAGAAACAGATATGGTTTCATACTCAGACCCATTTTCCGAAATAAAAACCTTTCCTCATCATTTATAGTTTCCAAGTCAGTGGGTTGTTCAGCAGGTTCAAAATTTTCTTGCACTTTCAATACAGCCTTCTCGGCCTTTGTTATCTTCCCTTTTGCCTGCAAATAGCGGAAAGTTTATATAGAGCCAAATATTCACAAGGGCTAAAAGTAGTGCCTGCATTTTCCAAAAAAAAAAAAAAAGACTCATCTTAATATACTGCCACTTACAATAGCTAGCTTGTTCTCAAGAGATTTAACCAAAGCAGCATGCTTTGCTACAGCTGAATCTCTCATCATCTTCTCTAAATCTTCACCAGTTGCCTGGTTGTTCCAGCGCAAGGTTGCTGCCTTTGTCTCAGAAAGGGTTCCGGCAACTAAAGGCCGTTCAGCAACTTTGACATTTGACGCAATCAGGGCCAATGCTCTCTGACGCGCTATTTCTTCCTCATCCTGTTGGAGAACAGTTTCTCTCTCTTTTTCCACTAATGCTTGCGTAACACCAGATGGCAAAAAATCATTTCCCCTGTAAAATACGATATATTCCTTGTTTCTTGACAATAGTGTACCTCCAGTTAATACCTAAGCGAATCATATCAGAATGTTGTTAGCAAGAAAGACGTGCATCAACCAACAACATCACATTCCTCACAGGAAAAGAAAAAGAAAGTAAACTAGTGTTTCTCAAATGATTAGCATGATTGGAACAAATTCTTTTAAGAGCACCAAGCAAAAAAGAAGGCTTGCTCAGAAGCTGATTATTTAAACACTGAAATGGAAATACCAATAAAAGAAAAACTACCAGACAGTTCATGATGCTTTCACTCATTTTCAGGTTCAACAATTTGTCCATGCGTTTAATGTGACTGGAGATTCAATGAATCAGAATAGAGATTAAAAATGTGAGCAAGCAAATATTCACACTCTTCAACATACTCATAGGTGAAAATATTCGTTAACTCATATATATATGTGTATGAATGTAGGGATTCAGATATCCAACCTTGAGTTCTTCTGCCATTCTTTCATTGCAAGTATTCTGTACACCACGTTTGATGGCTATCTTTGCAATAGCACACTTTTCCCACAACTTTACCATTGCCAATGCCAGACCTTGCAGTTGTCTGTTTCTTCCTAGATATTTGTAAAAACATACTCCATATATGAGTACTCAATATCTGAAACAAAGAGAAAGCACAAATATGAGTTGGCACACACCTAGGGCAAAATGTGGAGGCAATACTCTGGCACTCCTACGGAAAAATGTCATTTCTTTGTCACGTAAACCATGTCTTATCCCATGAGGTAGAAGCCTAAATGGGGGTCTATATCCAGGAACAACATCAGGAAGCAAGTCAGCATCAACAGGCACTGGTTCACGCCCTGACCAATCTTTGAACCGTGGACCAAGTTCATCCAGCAGTAGGTTGAGCTCACTTCGATCCTTGAGTTCTTTGACAGATAGGTTGTTCGAATAAGATTTAGCAGTCGATGGTTCAGCAGAGCATGAGGTACCGATGCTTCGAGCAAAATTATTCACCTGAACTCCTGAAGATTCAAATTCCTTTGTCTTGTCTTGAGTTTGTCTAGCATACGACTGTACACAATCTAATTTGTATCCCATTCCTCTGTACAACACCACTGTACTGCCTGATCTCCAAATAACCAAACCTCCAGTTCTACTCTGACAGAAGGCATAGTACACTATATATAAGCATCCAGTAGGCTTGATTGCATACAAATCTGAAGTAATATTCATTCGAACCAGTCGTAATGGTAAAGCAAATTTATGAAATTATTGCAAATGAGGATGTTATAACCATAGAATAGGATAACGTAAAGCTAACTTCAACCAGCATACTGATACAAGGAAGACTGACATCATGTATTTGCAGTAAAAGCTAACATTCATAACTGATTCTGAAGAAAAACTAACCTCTAGAATCTGGTGTGTCCACCTCATATTCATGGCAGTAGGACCTTCGAATTTCAGCTTCACCACCTCATCCAGCTTCCACTTCTCATGAATAGAGTCCACCAATGCCTGCGTTACACCGGCTGCCCCAACCTTTATTCTCTCTACCATCCTCAAAGCCAAATTCCTAAGCCTCTTCAATTCAGGCTCGGGTATTACTTTCTCTGCCACCTCAGTGTTACTTTTTCTTAATCTTTTCCCTTCATGATATTGTTGATCACTCTCACTCTCCCACGGCAACCTCACTGATTCACTAGTATCCCCTGAATCCTTCACATAATTCTGAAAAGCCCCCAACCCATTATTGCTATGTTCAGCACCCTTGTCTATCTCATTAAACAAAAACTCACCTGTCTGTGACAGCTCATTCGAAGTATCATCCTTCTTGGCACCATTTTCTCCAATTTCCTCATCAAGTTTAAGATTTTCCTCCATTTTCTTTACATCTTGAAATACACTAAAGCTGGTAACATAATTTTCAGAATGCTCATTAAAGCCATTTCGGGTTTCATCATCCTTGACACCCTTTTCTCCACCTTGCTCATCAAGATCAAATTTTCCCTCAAAATTATTACAATTTTGAATTACACGACGTTAGTAGCATAATTTTGAGCATGATCATTAAGGCCATTGAGGCTTTCAGTACTATTACTGGCCCGCCTCGAGTTTCTAACTGGATTATCAAACTGGGACTTTTTTCTGGGCTTTTTTCCATGCTCCCAAGGAGGCAATATTACCTTTTCCGGTAAACCAGAACTCACTGGCTGACTAACTGCAGAGCTCTTTTCACTTGCTGTCTGAGAAACAACCCCATTGGAAAATCTCACATTTCGCTCTTCATCTTCTTCAAAATTTTCGAACTTTGCTTCTTCTTTTTCTTCTTCTTCCCATGGGAGTTTTTCTATCAAGATAGTGGGTTTCCGAGACCATTTATCTTGAATTTGCTCAACAAAGCTAGGCCTGGGCTTTCTCTTCTTCCTGGTGAGGCTACTTTGCTGCTGCGTGCCAATTTCAATAGAATGAGTCGAACAACAAATTTTAAACTTGAGAGCTCTGTTTAAGCAACAGGTTTCTAATAGTGGAATGAGAAAGTGAGATTGTGAAGAAGATGAAGAAGGGTATGGAAATGGAGTCTGGGAGAGAAAATTCAATGGCGATTGCGAAGTTGCCATTACTGAAGATGACTCGATTGCCGAATGTTTCTAGCAGGAGAACATCTTGGGCTTCATCGATGCCAATTATTTGGCCGGCCCAAATTTTAACAGAACGGGTTGTCGTTTTACTCTCAAGCTACTCGTGGACATATGATGGGCTCACTTTCACAAAACCGAACAAGTTTAACATAAAGCCCTCTTATGCCCTTGAGTATCTGGTTTAGTTGGTAAAGACGATCAAAAACGCTTCTATTTTTTTTTCTTTCAGGTTTAAGGTCTTCCATTGAACAAAAAAAGAAGTTTTTTTTTGTTGAGTTCTTCCAATTTTTTTTTTTAGCTTTCAGGCTGAAGGTCTCCCATTGAACCAAAAAAAAAAAAAAAAAAAAAATTTCGCTTGAGTTTTTCAATTTTCTCAACTTTTTTTTTGTGGGGTAAGTGGAAGGTCTATATCCTGAATCCAGGACCTTCCATTTATACTCCCTCTCCCTTTACTATCTAACCAACCTTCCCTCTCGAATTTACTGGAAACGATTACTACTTGTTGGATAATATTTCGAGCAATGAAATCAAAATGAAATTTACAAGTGCTAAATTATACTATCGAAAGTACATAATCTTTCCTCATAAACAGGTGATGCAAAATCATTTTGCATACGAGTGTGGTGTGCCCATTAGTTTTTATTTTTCTTCGGTTCATTTAACCTTTATTGCGAGCAATTAATGATAATTGGTATGGGTTGGTTAGAATAGGACACAATTGTCTAAAGTAAAAGTTCAAAATGCAACGTAAAAACTAACGAGACCAATGTGGGATCAAACTGCGTTTAACCGAGAACCGGAAAAGTTTTATGTAAGCTGTAGTTGGTCGTGTAACAAAGGAGTTCAGCTATACGAATGCTATTCTTGAATACTCTCTCTCTCTCTCTGGTTGTGTAAATTCTTGGCTATCTTACTATAATATCTAAAGTTTTATCCTGCATCAAGCCTTACTTTGTCATTAGCAAAACCTGGTGGCCAAAGTGGTGCAGCCAAACTTCAAGTTGATATCTTTTAGCAAATAAGGGGAAGAAACAACTCCAACATATTCTTCATCGGCAGTTCCAAGATCGTTCCACAATAACAAAATGCATTCCGGCAGTGCTACAAAAGAATTTACAGAACACGATTTGTGGTGGTGTATATCCTCATATGTATGGTTCAAAATATGCGAGCTAAGGATAAAGTCAAGAAGCTTTTTCGACTGAAAAATGAAAGGCACGACTTGTGAACAATGCGGGATTATGATAGAACAAATCACCTCGCAATTTATACAGCAAATTAGCTCGATGGAAGTTGTACAAGTGCCAAACAAATGAACGTCGAGTTGTCGACTTTCGTGGTGTCTAATCTCATCTGCTAGCACTAAGCAGTAAAATCTCGACCACTTAAAACTAGTTCTTTGGGTAAACAAGAAGATAATAAGATTACTTAGCTTGGTGCAGAGGAGTCTTTTGGGTGGTTTATGTGTCCGCAGGTAACGGCCAACTAGATTGTGCCCTTTCAATACCTCAGACGACCTCCACACCAAACACACACACACACACACACAACCACCCCCCCCCCCCACCACACACCAAAAGAAAAAAAAGCCATAAAAATGGTGGGATATGGATGGAGTCTCGCTCAGTAAAGAGAGTTGTAGATTCGTAAAACAGGAGAAGAGCCTTTACCTTTTCTATTTTTTTTTTATAAAGAAACTATTTTTTTTGTTGAAGGGGCTATAGCCTATAGGGTAATAAAACCTGTAATTCGTGTCATACTTTCTTTTTTTTTATAGTGTTGATTAAAAAGGGAGAATGTTGTCTAACTGGAATCACAGATTGGTAGAGCCCATGATCCAATTATTTAATGTTAATTAACTAAAACCCCCTTTGCCTAGTAGATGATGAGCAGCTTCTTCGGCAGCCACAGACACAGCTTGATGCTAAGCATAAGGGAGACATAATCATTAACGTTAATGATACCATTGTTTATTCTTTGCTAGTTTCACGGTGTTCGATCTTCGTGGATTAACAAGCATAATGACAATGCCGAACTTATTAGGCAGGCTGCAGCAGCAGCCTCTTGTTGAATCCAAAAGGAACCTCAAAAGCTAAAGGCTATAGAATCACATTTACGGCTTGTCTCCACTTCCCCGTGTGAACGACTGTGAAATTATTACTCGACTTTACAATCCATAATCAAGCACACCAGAAAAATAATTTTCAATTAAAATTTCCAGCAGGAAACAGATTCCCTCTTTTCAGCCGAAAAGGTGCAATTCATGGAAGTGAAACATGACTATATTTTTTTGGGATAATTTCAGAAAGGTTTCTAGTAATTTCAGACAGCTCCTCTCACGTTTTAAAAATTACACATGTCTCTCCTAGAACATAGGTTTAGGTTTCACCTTGATGATATAAGACCAAAAAAGTATATGAATGCCCAAAATTGCCCTCACCTAAATTTCCTTAATATGAATAATCATTAAGATTTTTTAAAAGTCAAAATTACACTTGTATATTATCAAAATTATGAGTCTTATTGCTTAGCCAATGTCTTGATATTTTCCATCCCCATGGTTTTCTACATCCACTCAAACTTTCAAACTCTTATCACTTTTTCTTCTTCCAAACAAACTCTTTGTCTTAGATGCCAAAATCCACCATCATAATTCTTACCTTCACAATCTTTACCTCGTTATAAGTTTCTTCCATATATTGCCTAACAAATCTTTAGTCATAAAACTCATAATCCTTACCTTTTCCCCACTCAAACACCCAAGCCCTCAGTTACCAAAATTCTTCTAATCTCTGCTCTCAACATTTGGGTTGGTCATATTAAATCAGCTCACATTTTTTTTCTCTGAATTGACATAATTTTATTGAAAACAAATTTGATATCTATTAAGAGGAACCAGGCAAAATATCAACAAAGTGCAAGTTTGGGATAGTAGTTTTAGTACAATCTATCAAATTATATTTTCCATAATCCGGTAGCTTTTTTGTCCTCAATGATATGAACAATTGGGTGGTTTGCAGTGATGATTGCTTCCATCATCATCAACAGCAGTAGCATATTTGAGTGATAGAAGGAAGGAGACATCTACCTTGATTAGCAAATTTGAATGATAGAAGGTTACAATTTAATGGCCATGACTAAAGTAATTTGGCCACAATATATGGCTTAGTAAAGAAAAATTGTTTTCCTTTTCTCATTTTTTTTTTCTATTATTTTTTCCCTTTTTTATCAATGGCTTGTCTTTTGAAAATTATGAAGGTTATTATAGTCAGCGTTTATCATCAAGAGAGGTAAGTGTAATATTGAAAATCTCAAGAGAGTTCAATGAAATTGTCAGAAACCTCAGGGGAGGTTTCTGAAATTATCCCTATTTTTTATAATTGGAAAAAACCATTAATGTGGCTCCTACCTGGCAACATAGTGCGTTTATTTACATAAAACTTGGCAATCTTGTACAGGAAGTAATAGTTGCAACTACTGCCTGAACTAAATTAGTGATCAAAGAGGACTTGAATCTACTTTCTATCTAACTAAATTGATGATGAAACTATGTGCCTAATTCTAAACAAAATTGAAATTTTTTGTCCTGGAGATAATATCATTTTCGGATCAAACCGAGCTTTTCTTTCTTGAAATGTGCTCCATTTCGACCCAAAATGGTTCATCCAGTCTTGTCTGGTTTTGTGGTGCGAAGATACTGCTTGATCTCGATGCCATTTTTGTCACAAAACTCCAGTAGTTCATTATTTTGTCATCCAAGTTCTTCCAGTCATCCAATGTACCAGATGCAATAGTCCCACGCAGTAAAATGTATCTTCGTCAGGTACGACAGCCGACATTCTCTCATCCCACCTGTAACCAATTAAAAATAAAAATTTATTAATTAAATAACATGGATGGTAGTGCTAATAATGTTTAACTCGATCCGAACACAAATATATTGCGAACATAATGTTGTTTAATGCTATAATTACCAACACAGCTGGGGTAGAATAATATATTTCCAAGTAAGAAATAAAATATTAGTGCGTAGCATTTTAGAGGCTGATGATTACATTTTCTTGCTTGTTGGGTAGACAAGAATGGGTCCTGTAGCCTTATTCTGTTTAAGTAAGATGTCGACAAAAACACCAGCATTGAAGTCCATGATACGAGACTTGGGTACAAAGAGATTGAGCCACGGATGAGGGACATCCCACAATCCCTTGGACTGAAGCTTGAGCTCCCCACTTCTTACTATCATTCAGAAAACCCACGAAGGAATCATCTTTCTTGAATAAGAATCCAGGAATGTAGTGCAAACCCTCTAGCAATAATTCAAGTTCCTACACATTAGAACAAACAAACATGTTATATATATATATTTATATACATAGATATATATAGACGTCTGCCTGGATAGTAGCATCAAATATGTGTTCAATACTATAAGCTAAATGTACAGTAATTGACAAGAATGATTATTAGGATTGCATACCTGATCAACAGTAGCAGCAGTGTTATCGTCGTAGTACTTGACAACTTCCATGCAGTAGAGGATGCCTCGTTCAGTTAACAAGGAAGAAATTTTGGACTGATGGGAAGCGGAGAAAAATGAAGATCTCCAGTTATTGGGAGAACTTTGTTGCAGTATAAGGGAACCTTCTACATAGTCTACGCCATTATCATTAATTGAGATTAGATATTCCTGGTCTCTTGTAAAGCTGGAAAAATCATCGTACATTATTCTCAGCCATTTCACCTGTACATGTAAAAAGAGAAAAAAATGTGTACTAGTAAGACATATGTACAACACTACTTGTCTGCCAATTCATAAGCAAAAGCACCCCTGAATCCATCAAAAGAATAAATCCTGGATTCCTTAATTTTGTCCATATTCGCCTTAAGAAAAGTCACAATTGATGTGGAATAGAGATAATGGTTTCTTGTAGCATGATTATTAAACTTATCAGGTCATAATCAAATTACATTATCAATCC